CTCTTGCTCCATTACCTACCATTCTAACTTTTCATCCTGAATTTGTCTGCTTTGATACCTCACACACATGGAGGTATTTGTTTTTTTGTGAATGATTTATTTTGCTTAGTATTAGGTCCTCAAGGTTCATCCAGGTAACAGATGATAGGATTTCCTTCCCTTTTAAGGGTAAATAATATCCCATTGTATGTATATCTCACATTTTGCTTAACTGCCTATTTAGTAAATAACGGATTATAGGAACAGTGTCCTTGACCTCCATCTTGTCTGTGGCTGCTTTTCCCACTGCCTTGCTAGTTTGAGTTACGAAAGGGACCCACAAAGGCTGCACTAGTATCTCCCCTATTGTGTTGGGGAGACTCCCGCGTAAGAGAAATAATGTGGTTGCTGCATTGGAGGGAGAAAAGCCTCCCAGGGGTACCATTGCGCTCCCTCTAAGGATGTGTGTTTGAACAGTCACGCACAGGGCAGCTTCTCTGTTCGCGTGCCCATCCAAGTTCCAGGTGTCCACAATCAGGCACGCATGTCCCGTGCCCACACTCCAGGCACCTCCTGCCACCGTGGCCAGCAGCATAAAAGCCTGACCAACCAGTCTTCATTTGCCTTACAGTGTGGCTGTGTGGGGCAGGGAGGGGGAAACAGTTGACAGGGTTGCGTTGTTTAGTGATAGTTTAGAAATCCAGGGAAGTGAGGCACCCAAAAAGATTGAGTCCTCAGGGAAGACTTCTTAGAGAGTTGGTATTTGGGAAGGGATGGATCAGCTTGAGGCAGGGTGGTTTGGAGAACTGCATCGTCCTTCTCACCTGTGTCTTAGCAAATGCAGCTCAACATTGCAAGCATTTATAGCTGCCTGTGGCATAAAGAAGGTGCTCCCCTAGAATATGGGTTTCATAAGGGCAGGATATATGTCTTTTTCATTTATCACTAGTACCTCGAACACAAGAGCTATCTCAACAAACGTGGAATTAATACATGACTGTAACTCTCAGTAACCCTTATAAGCTATTTAAAATGTGCTGTGCACTGTGCAAATAAAGGCAAAGAGCTGGATCACACCACTCTGTTAATTCACTGATTACACTGAAAATTTGTTTTTAATGTTTTTAGCCAATTTGCTATTGGCTGCTAAAGCAGCAATGTCTTTCTTATTGCTAAAGATAGTCATTATGCAGTAAAAGAACTAACTTTGAGATATTGACAATAAAGGAACAAGGGGGAGAGAACAATGTCAAATGATCTTAAAGGTAAAAAAAAATCATTTGCTCAACAAATATTTATTGAACTGTGACTGTTGTGGGGATCCAAGGGAGAGCAGAATTGTTGCTGCCCAAGGGGAAATGGGCATTGAAACTAGTAATTACAGATGCCATGTGTGTTACTTACAGCAGTGCAGGTGCCATGGAAACTTAGCAAGGACATTTAACCTGACCTGGGGCACCAGAGAATGCTTCCCTGAGGAGGTGATTAGTCCTGATACTTGGTTACCGTGTGACAAACTACAAATTCAGTGTCTTCAAACAATTGATTATCCATGGATGTGGGTTAACTGGGTTCAGCTGTTCAGTTCTCCCTTGGAGTATCTTGTCAGTTGCAGAGTGGTATTGACCTGGGCTGTCATCAGAATGACTTCTTCACTCATAAGTTTGGTGCCGCCCTGCCCCAACCTGTGGCTTCTCTCCAGCAGAGCAGCCTGGACTTCCTGTATAGACCAAGACCCCAGGGGATATCCAGTCACTACATCTGCCATGGTCATAGAGTTATTTCTGCCACATTCTATTGATCAACATATGTCCTGCCCGGAGTCAGTGGAGTGGAAAATAAATTCACTTCTTGATGAGGCAGCAGCAAGATCTCATTGCAAGAGAGTATGTGGGATAAAAGGTGTGACCATCTTTCCAGACTACTCTTCTGTCCTGTGATGTCAGGTTGATACCTGAAGTATTAGGCATTAGACAGACAGGAGAGGGGGCGATCCCAGAGGGAATGACTCCTCCCATGTGGGAACACTTGCAGGAGGTCTGCAGCCCCAAAAGGTAAACCTGGAAGAAGGATTTGAAAGGCTCTGTGACTCTGTGACTGACTGGAGGAATGAAGAATGCTTGGAAATGCTTGATCAGAGTGGAGAGTAGAAATTTTTAGAGTGTGGTTGAGTAGTAAATACCTGTGTAGATCAGAAAACAAAGGGAGTAACTGCTTGTGTTCCAAGTAGAGAAATGGAGAGCACTAACTAATGAAAATCGAAGATCTTAGATTAGGAAGTGTAGATGTAGTCTGCGGAAGGACTTGAGGTGAAGACGAGGCAGAAGTGAGGAGTGATAACTTTGGGGTTCAGGAGGAAGGAAGGTATGCGGCCCTCTAATGGCCAGCTACGGAAAGGGAAATCTTAGCTCGAATCACAAAGCTAGAATGAGCCCAGCCCTGACTCTAGGGCTGAGCTGCTGTCCATTCTGATGGTCACTGTGCTGCCACTGAACTGTCGCCCTCCACAGTGGAAGTGAATGTCTCATGCTAAACAAAAGTAACTTACTCTTCATAATTTCTTCCCACCACCCTGGCAAATACTGTTCAAGTTTTCTAGGTACAACTTGAAGGGCAATCTCCTTTTGAAGACTTTCCTCACTTTTAGTGATAACTGACCCACCCTTTCTTCCCCACTAATCTATTTCCATCCTCTGTCTGGGACAGTTTTGGACACATTTTCTTATCTGACTTATCATGATAGATTGACATCCTCCTTGGGGCAAGAACTGTGTCTTAGTCCTCTCTCCATTTTTTGACTTGTGTCTGGTGTGACCTTAACAAATGATGGCTCAGTGGATAGATAAATGATTTCCAAAATCCCTTGCTAAACAGCATAAAATGATTATGGAGTTAAATTGCAATTTCCCTTTAATGAGTATTAACGAGGAATTGCATACAGAACTGTTCATGGGAACTGAAATCTCTGAGCCTCAGTGACCACCTCTTGAAAAGTGCAGGTTGAAAAGAAGACCTCAGAGTTTACTACCATGTCTAATAATCTGCAGTTTTAGAACATGTAGGACAGAGGTTTTGTTCACCAGGCAGAAATGGTTATGTGCCTCTAGGCAGCTTGTGACTCCCCAAGCAGAGGGCACAAAGAATATCTTATAGGCACTTTGATAAAATCTTTCAAAAAGAAAATTAATGGAATCTACACATATAACATTTTGTAAATTTAAGGTGTGTATAGTATATTAATTTGTTGCATGTATCTATTGAAAGGTAATTACTGTTATAGCAATACTTAGCACCACATAATTATCTTTCCTTTGTAGTGGTTAGGTTATGTTTTAGTCTCTGCAGATTTGATGCTTGTACAACAGTATTGTCTGTATTCACCATTCTGTGCATTAGATTTCTGTGGCTTATGAACCTTTTCAAGCCTCATTAATTTTATACTTCTCCACCCCTAAACTTTGAAGGTTTACTCTCCAGTATAAAGACTGAATTTTAAGCACTAAGGAAAGGAATATTCATAATATAGTCTTTCCTGAGTAACTATGCGCTGCACCTTGGTGCCTCTTCTATAAAACAGTGAACTTTGTTTATTATAGCCATTTGAATTTTAATTAAAAAAGAACTGTCAAGATTTATTACTTCTGATATACAAAATGAAACAGAAAAATCCCAAGTTTTGAAATTATAGCAATGATGAAAATCTGTTGCCTAATTCAGGCAACTCAAGGTTTAATTATAGATACAGGGAGAAAATCCTGTCTGCAGCTAGAGAAATATTATAAATGATGTTTTGTCTCTGAAGACCAATATGTGCCTTATTTTGTGAATGCTAACTTCATAAATATCAAAATATAAAAAGTAGATGAATTCATAGTCATTATCGCTTTATAAGAGATTCACCACTGAGTTCTTGTCAGCTCACAATGCCTGGATACATTTAAATCAAGGGCTGTAGATACTAGTTTTATTCACATACCTTAGTCATTGTAGATTGCTGTTGATTTAAATGTATTGGTTTTATGACTTAAGTGCTAAAAGCAATTTTCATTAACCATAAAAACTGTGCAGTTTTTAACAAGATAGCACAGTTACATACCTTAGCAGCTACATGCAAGGGGGTTGCTGCTAATTGCTAGTTTCACCTACTTGTAAGTTGATAAGGGGGAGCATGAAAACCTTACCTAACTGTAGGTGAGCTGTGGAGCACATGGAATGTGGCTCATGTGACTGAGGAACTTTATTTGATTTTTATAAATTTACATTTAAATAGCTGTGTCTGTTGCTTTAGATAGTGTCACTGTCAAGGTCTGCCCTAATTTGGCCAGGCCCTGGAGATTTGGCATTTCGAAGTGAATGGTTAGTACTGGTACAGGATTCTTCTTGCCCAGCCCTGAGGCTGGTCTCCTTGGCTAGTCCTTGGAGCCTCTGAGTTTGGAGCCTGAAGCCTCTTTCCAAGATGGCTGGAGAAGTAATTCTGTTCCAAGTCCTCGTAAGGCTGTGTGGGACCTAAGTCGAGGAACAGCAGCCCTGTGACTTTTGAGTTAACAAAAGGGCAGAACCTCTCTGTTACCCCCCCTCACACACACTACCTGCACCTTTAAGCCCAACAAATCATTAGAGCTTTCCAGGTTTGTGAACAGAGTTGTGCATTTATGACTTTGAGACTGATTACTATAGAGGCCCTGTCACAGAATTGCTAGTCGCTTTTGCTTACGATTTTAGGTCATTGTATCACAGAGATTTGCCAGGGCAGTCTTTTCACAACAGCTCTCAAAGGCTTCTCTGTGTGAGTAAAAGCTGTTGACTTTAATTCTCCTTATCAAGTGTTCCGCCCTGCACTGTGTAAGTTCTACTCTAAAGCAGCAGTGATGTGTACTCTTCACAATGGGACTTCTGTGTGGGCGTTGTCCACCTTTGGGCATGAACGCCAAAGTGTTAAAGTGGAGAAATATTCTGGGCAGATTTGTGTGCTGTTGAATGCATGGAACCCTATGCCAACATTGTTGTTTCTTTTCTTCCAGGAAATGAAGGATTGCTGTGGAATTGCTTTGAGAAGCACTTTGTCATCTCAGAGGTCTCTCTCACTGAAGATTAATCTCAAAGGAGCATCTGTCTCCTCAAGCCTTTGTTAATGGCCATTAGCAACTACAGATGCTTTTCATGACTTGGAAAACATCGACCACCTTTGTGTTTGGCCTGCTTCAGGTAGCCGAATGAAAGTTTCTAGTTGTTCAGAGAACACTTGCTGAAGCACCTCATTGCTGGGTGAATGTTCAAGAAGCCCTTTCCTGAACTAGCTTAGGAGGCATCTACCTCTTGGAGCCTGTGACATGGAAGCTTTGGAAGTAGATGACATCAGCCCAGCCTTGGAAGTTACTGAGGATTTCTTTAGCACTTTTGACAGTAAGCTAGAGAAGGCTGTGCAGCAAGCAGAGGTTTACGGAATTCAGGAAGTCCCTGAGTTGGTAGGGCATGAGGTACTCAGTAACTTAACAGACAATGGTGCTATCAGAAATGTTACCGCCCTTGGCAAGGGGGGTGTGATTTGGGACCACTGTAAGAGCAGGCTCTTAGAAACCAAAGTTCAAAATGTCTTCCCTGCCAAAGAACAGTTTATGGTCCAGAAAGGAACAACCCCAGATAATCTTTCCTGGATGCAACAAAAGGAAGTGTCAACCTTTAATTTTTTCAACATCTGTCAACGTCGGAGGGACAGACCTAGATCTGTGAATGATTTGTTAGATGAGACCTCTACTTTTAAGCCAGGCCATGCTCGATCAAGGTCAGATATCACCCAGATGGACTGGAGGGTAGTCCTCCAAACCATGCCTTTGCAGCAGCAGCAGCAGCAGCCACCTCTTCAGGGCCTGCAGTTCACCAGGCCATCCTTCCTGCTGCCCTCTCCAAATAAGGTCGAAGATGCTCAAGGAAATACTGGTATGTTCTTGTAGCTGATTGCTATTAAAAAAAATTGTTGCTTTCCCTTCATCTCACAGTTACCTCATGAGACTCTTAAGTCTTTAATGTCCATGTCTGACTTTGTCGATTTTGCTTAGTTTGCTATTTAAGTTCCCTCTTCCATTTACTTTCATACTTTCTCTTACTTCAAGTCTACGGTCGTATTACCATATTATCCTCATAAGAGGTACTAAATGAAGTGAAGGAGAGCTGTAGTTAATTCTTCCTTTATAATCTTGTATATTGGAGTGTTCTCATAATGTAGCATTTTTCTTTGGACATGGTATGATACAGTTCACATCGGTCAATATCCTTGAGTCACATATCAGAGGTTGCCTTGTGCTATGAAGGATTTAAGATGTGTGAAGGCACAATCCCTGCCTAAAGAATTTCTCATTTATCTGAAACTATCAGGCACAAACAAAGACTTGAGAAGCCACCTAGTAGAGAGAGAAAGTAGATATTCAGCTGAAAAGTTTTGGGGAGAACTGTTATTTTCTGTATTACTGGGGTTGTTTTCAGTGACTAAGTGATAGCATCTGTAAGAGTGTAGAGATGAGGGCTCGTCAGGTAGGATTGATCAGAGGTCTCAGCACTTGAGCTGTACCCTCGGGACACTAAGACACTGAAGAAAATACTTGGTCAGGATTAGGTATGACAGGGAAGGTGCAGAGGAGCTCAAGGTTCCCACAGCAGGTAGTGGAAGGAAGAGGTTGGACAGGGCGGATAGAGCCTCATGGTGTAGGTTCTTACATTCCTTTCTCCTCATGTATTATAGTTCTCATATTCTCACACACGAACTTTCTCTTCTGTGAGACATGACTAACCATCTCTTCATTTCCCACAGCATTTTCCTTAAATGCTTATACATACTATTTTTATTACTGATCATTCTCCAGTCGCCCCCTGCCCCCCACAGACCTTAATAAGATGACTTTACCTCAGTTAACTGGAGACGTCTTATGTATTTCATTGCTGTTTTAGTGTTGCTTCGACTCATATCATTGCTTAGTATTTCACTGATCTATTTAACATTTTAATTAATCAAATTTAGTTTCTAAGTGTAACGAGGCAAGAATATATTAACTAAGTCTAGTGAGAAAACAGGCACCTGTCTGTGAGGTACTGCAATTTTCATATCCAGTTCAAACCCATCCTTTCAAAATGCTTCCCCCCACACTTTCATGACTTACGTTTCCATGTCTTTTCTTCTAGACTTTCATCTGACCTCTGGCCAGTGGTGGTAGCATTAAGAGTAAAAGGAAAAGAACATTATTAAGCACATGACTTGGTCACTGATTAGATATTAGAGAATAAACAAGTTGCTGTGACCTCCAGTGACTTATAAAATGAGAGCTTTGTCTTGAGCTGATGCACTAATAGGTGTACTCATTGATTAGAAAGTAACCTCAGTTTTCTGATTTCTTATAGTTCATTTAGATTGATTTTATCACTAACCCCCTTACTCATTCTAGCCTTAGCCAAGGTTAAAAGGGTGTCATATTTCTAATTTTCTTTTTCCTATCATGGTTTGTAAATGCAAGAACCATGCCTTCCTTAAGTTCTCTCTTCAGTGTTAACAGATCATGATGATTATTGTTTAATTCTCAATTTGTAAAAAGTTGAGTATTATGTTGAAATTTAAGTAATAAGTGGCCTATGAAAAGAAAACTACCAAATTGTCTTTGCCACCTTTGGTGGGACACATCCCTAGCAAAGTAGTATAAATGGCATGCCAGGTACCTAGCACCTTTTCTTTTTGGTGTGTTCTGGAGAGCAGACATTCCGTGTCATTGCTCACCAGTTACAGGCTAGGGCCAAGCAATGAGTGCCCACTGACTGATGTGGAGGAGAGTTCTAGCTTCAGGGCTGGTCGCTCAGGCTGCCAACTAAAGTGCTCACAAGCATTTGAGGGTGTGAGCAGCCGGGTGGGGGACATCTGTCAACACCAGGCGTGTACTAGTCAAAGTCAGCCAAGATCTTTGAGAAAGTTTCCTTCAAAGCTTTTGAAATCAGCGATCCAAATAAAGAAAGACTTATTGTTTCTCCTGAAGGGGAATATGCCAAGAGCAGAGGGAGGTCATGTAGCTGGAGGTGAGGGCTCAGGAGACCTGGGGTCAAGTCAGACCTCTTCCTGGAGTTTCACACTCAGACTTCCGACTGCCTAGTCAACATGTCTGCTGGACTATCTCACAGTACTGCATAGTCCAAAAGTGACTGATCATCCCACCATCTCCCCCTCTGCTGTTCTAAAAATTAACAAGGGATAATGAGAAGTTGAGGGCTCCTCAGAAGAAATAATGTAGTCAATCGGTGTCCTTCAGTGAGGTCAGCTTGGCTTTGTATTTAGCTCTGTCACTTTCCTTCATATGGGCTTATTTCTGCATGGTCTTATGTTTCTCCCGGTTGATTTTTTTTTTTCCTGACCCTTTCCTTGAGTAGTTTGAAGTAGCTTGAAGTACTTTGAGTAGCTTGAAGACTTACCAGGAATTGTTCTCATTCCTCCCTTCCTCCACTTCTGCTCTGATCCCCAACTCCTCTCTTTCCTCGGTGACAAACAAGCCCAAGGATCTTCTTCACTGGGTAGGACCACTAAGTCTTTGGCTTCATTTGCTTATGAATACTTGGGCTTTTGAACCTTACTGAGGAGAAATGCTGCTTTCCCGATAAAGCAAGTCAGGTTCTGGCATAAACAGGACAGTGGTAGCTGGAGTGTAATCACAGCTATGTTGTTAGTGGGCAGCCCTGTCAGAACAGGACCTCTGGTCAGACAAGGTAGCAAATTAGTTAGAAACACTCTAACCCTAGGCCTTTTCAGCCCTTGCTAGCTGTGTAGTTGGGCTAACTTAGTCTCTCTGGGCCGGTCTCTTTTTTTTATGCCATATAATGTTGGTAATAGTAATACTTACCTCAAATTCTTATATTAAATGAATTAAAACATCTTTTTTCCCTCAAATTTTAGTGATTTGCTGGCTGTTTACATAACTGTCTAGTTGTGGGTGTACAACTTCACACTCCCATATGTGTTCATGCATCCCTCACCCTCCACCAAAGCCCCAGTGCCACAACTCTATACAGTCCCTCCCTCATCTCCTCTTCCACCCCCCAAGATGCCCTCCAGGAACACCCACTCCCTGTGATAATCAGGGTAAGTTTCACAGAGTCTAAGAATTATTTTTGTGTGATTGCCAGTTTGTTTTCTGTGGTTATTTATGTTCCACAGAAATGAGTGAAACCACCTGGTAACTGTCTTCTGCTCTCCAACTTATGTCACTTAACACAGTCACCTCAAGATCTATCCATTTTGTCCCAAAAGGCACTATTTCATACCTTTTTTTTTTTTTTAAGTAGCTGAGTAGTGTTGCATTGCACATACGGTCCACAATATTTTTTAAAGATTTATTTATCGATGTATGCAGAACTGGGGTGCAGGCCAGAGATGCAGGGGCCATGAGATTCTTCACCAGAGATGGAGTAGGGAGCAGAACAGACAGATTGATCAAGTACACTGCTGAGGGAAGCAGAGGGCAGGCCAGGAGAGGTCTGCTGCACCATGTGCATCACCTCCCTGTCTAGAGATCAAACTCATGCTGCAGTGACTGGGGACAGCTTCATAGTGCTGTGTTTTAACCCGTTGTGTCACCAGAGAGGTCCAGGTCCACAATCTCTTTATCCAGTTGTCTAACAGTGGTCATTTAAGTTCATTCCAGAATTTGTCTCTTGTGATAATGCTGCTATCAGGATAGGATTGTTTTTGAATTAGTGTTCTCATATTCTTTGGAGTAAATAAATGGATTAAAGCATTTAATCCATAAAGTGTTTCTTAAGGCCATATTTGGTACATAGTAAACAATGTTTTAAACATTTCATATCATTATTACTGTTACTATTATTTGTAACTTGTCAGTGACAAGGTGATACTATAGTCATTCCTAGTTTTCCCTGACATAGTCTTCTTCAAAAAATGACCTCACAGTAAATCTTTCTTGAGCTGACCTTCCTGCAGTCTACTTGCTGATACCTATTACCTGATTTGTTCATGGGAAAAGGACGACTCATTCCGTCTCTCATACTGATTTGTGATCAGCTCTTTATGGTCACTGAGAATAGGTTGTTTATTATTTATTATTTTATTCTCAGTGTCTCACACAGTGCTCTGACTATTGTATGTGCTACCAATAACTAGGGGAGGGGAGGAGAAATGTATGGAAGAAACAGACCTGAAGAGTGTTCACCAAAGTAAAATCCTTCATGGGATCATTAGGAAAAACTAAGTCACAGCAAAACAATCTGGCTAAGCAAGGGTTGTTTTCTGCATTTAACATAATTGCCAAAGTGCATGGACAGTACAGAGCTCATCATGGTTCTGTCGGGCGCCAGTGAGTCTGCAAAAAGAAGACTGTAACTTTGCCTTTCACACTCTTATATACTGGCCATAGAGAAGAATGTCTGTGAACTAATCCATGGGATTATAACCATGGAAAGGGGGCTTTGGAGGTTTGCTCCATCTTTGGCTACCTTTTCATTCAGTCTTACTTCAAAGTCTATGAATGCACTCGAGAGATTGCACTGCCTCAGGCATAGACACACTTCATAAGATGGAATCTTGCCTGTGCCAAGTGGATGAAGGACAGAGCCAGTGGGGCCCACCAGGTGAGTAGAATGTGGCTTGAATCCAACTTGGTTAAGACTCTGTGTACTAAGGACAGATAGTCATATCAAGAGGTTAGGCCATAAATTAGAACAGATAGAGCTAAGCATGATGGCATCAGAGGCAGTACTTCTCCCCCCCAAACCCCCAGCTTTATTAATGTATAATTGACAAGACTGTAAGGCCTTCAAACTGCATGATGATTTGATATATTTGCAACTGTGAAATAATTCTTCCCATCTGACTAATTAACATAGGCAGTACCTCACATAAGGGGTAGTTATTGCTTTTTTAAAGAACCCCAAGGTAAAACATGAAAGCCAATGTT